AAAAATTTTTTTTTTTTTTTTTTTTTTGAGAAATTCTTGAATTGGTTTGCATTTCATGTGAATAGACATTACCTCCAAGTTGGGTCCTTTTAAGTGGTGATTGAAAGGTTCAAAGTATAGCAAAGACATGCCATCCCACCATACCATACAAAGGCCTTCACCTAAAAGCTGATACATCTTCACAACTCTTTTCTTCTTTTTGTGGATGGAGTAGGTTCCTTATTTTCAAAAGACAGCATCATCACACCCTTTATTTATATCACATTTTTTGGTAAAACTTATTTTCGGTCCCTCGATTTTAAATTTACTCTTAAAGAATGTTTCGTTCCCCTTTTCAATCAACGTGGGATCTCAAGCATTCTTTGTAAGGGTGTAGAAATCTCTCCCTAGCAGATATTTGCTAGCGATGGCCTCAGGCTGTTAGAAACGGTATCAGAGCCAGACATCAAGCGGTGTGCCAACGAGGACGTTGGGCCTCAAGGGGGAGATTATGAGATCCCACATCGGTTGGGGAGGGGAACAAAGCATTCCTTACCGGGATGTAGAAACATCTCCTTAGCTGACCAAAACCCGATACCAATAGATGACAACTGTACCATAAAATATAGTGGAGTAGTATTTAAAAGACAATTGTGTAGGAATAAAATAGAGAAATAATGTATAGATATTGAAAGAGCCATCTTTGTGCCAAACAAGTTTGATATAGAAATGGATATTGAGGATGAGCCGCCATTAGAAACCAAAATTACTTGATAATATATTCAATTTCATTTACCAAACTAAGAAGCATTCGAATCTTTGAATGTCAATGCTGATATCAATTTAATTACAAGATACATTTCATTCTTCCAAACTATATATTATAATCAAAAATCACATTAACCACCTGCTAATCAACCTACCACTTTGGTCTTAAATGAAATTTTTGAATTTCAATTCCATTAACAATATGCTATTTGTCATTATCAATATCAAAGCTATTTTGTTTTTGGTTTATTGGAATCACCTAAAAATTCTCAACTAAATCATACTTTATAATTTAAGATAAGAACCAAAATTAAATAATTAAATAATTTCCGTTCAACGGGAACTAAACATTCATTGTAAAGGTGTGAAAACTTCTCCTTCATAAAAGCGTTTTAAAATCGTGAGGTTGACGACGATAAATAATAGATATGAAAACCTCTCCACAATAGATACAAAACAGTAAATTCGTGGTCCATTATACTATTTTTAAAGTTTAGAGACCAAATAGATATAAATTTAAACGTTTACGGACGAACAAAATCTCGAACGAAAAAGAAAAATTTTGAAGCAAAAGTTTGTGAGATAATGTTTGGAAAAGTGTAGATGGTATCTAAGGGTTGTAGGGACTTGACATGAATGAGTGCCATGTGTGATGACGAGTCTCGCACTTAGAGACCTTATGGGCGTGGCCCAGCTGCCACCCCATACATAACTCAACTGCATTAGCTTTGCATGTCAATCACGATCGTACCATGCTTGACCCGACTATAATTCAGCTAGTTAAGATATATATATATATATATGTTCTAGTGTATAGAATTTGAATTATTTACTCTCTCAAGATGTTCGTCTTTCTTAGTCTTGAAAAGGTGACTCGTCTTTTAACATGCTTACAAAGAGCTCTGAGGGTTCGATGGCTCATAGAAGAAAAGGAGTCTTGCTCGAAGGACGGCCGATCCCATTAATCATACAACTAGGAGGGATTTCATGGGGAGAGGCATACGACAATTACAGGTCAATAATTCCATCGCATCAAAATAATAGCTTAACTAGCTTTACAAAGCAAACTTGCTATCTAAGACCTCTCTTTCCACGCATGGGATATTCTATTCCACGGTGATAAAAATCATAGCTTCAAGACAATCCACAGGTACTCCACCGAGCGCTGGGGATTGTTTTATTTGTGTTTCGTGTGAGAGAACTGAGGAAGAAGGTGGTGGTGATGTTGGATTGTGTATGAAACCATTTAAGATGCAGACTAAGTTGAGTGTTGACTTACACGTTTGAGAAGAAAGTTTAGGTATTTTAGGTAAATTTTCAAGTGAGAAGAGACGTTTGGAATTGATATGTGGAATAGGAAGGATGTGAATTGATTCTCCCCAAAATCATCACCACAAACAAAAACAGGTTAAAAAGAAAAATCAAGTAAAATTTGGTGAGACCCACACCAAAAATTAAAAATTAAAAAAAAACGAGTCAACACGTTCTTTAATTATAACAACGATTTCTAATTTCATCGCTTTCGGTTTCTTAATAAAGTTGGTCAATGTTCAAAATCAAATTATATCTCACTTATTCTTACTCGTTTTTTCAAACTAGGGTTGAGTAAAAATTCACTAAAAATTTTTGTTGAAAAAAATGGATCGAACTTTCCACCAAAATCAAAATGACCCGGGTAAAAAAAAAATCCTTAATTCAAGTAAATGTCGACTAACATGTAGTACAAAGTTTGGAATAACTTGTTAGTAGCATAAGCCGGTAAAGTTGATGTGGAATGAACGTTCATCTTATACATCAGTGTACGTCATTTGAATCTCGATTCTCTTATTTGACACGTAATGTTTCAAATAAGTTATGATGGGTCGGTGGGTTATGTAAATAAGAGAAATGAGGTAGTCGTGTTGTTAAAAGAAGGGGTGAATGGAAGGAAGTGAGAAGGGACTATTAGGGTGTGGTATTGGCAGCCACAAAATGGCTCCAAGTTTGGTCTAACATGAAGAGATGATAAAGCCATCAAAGTGGGTCCAACCCTCACCAAAGAGGAAATTCAATCTTCAATAACCTACCTCTTCCCACATACATGCATGGGAATTCATGGGCCCATTTTTTTTTTATTATTATTATTTTTATAATTTGTTCATCAATTTCTTCCCACTTTCCAAATTTTTTAAATCCAAAACAATTTCCCCTATAAATACCATCCATTTTCTCTTCATCCACCATAACCAAAATCCCAACAAAGCTCATTCAAGCTTTTTGTATCAGCAAAAAATGGCCATTTTTCCTGTCATCAACTTGGAGAATATCAATGGAGATGGTAGAGCTAAGATCTTGGAGCAAATTGAAGATGCCTGCCAAAATTGGGGATTCTTTGAGGTGATTCATAGATTACGATTTTTTTTTTTTTTTTTTTTTTTTTTTTTTTTC